ACCCGAAACCAATTAACTTTTTTTTATTTCTATGTCCCTAGAGGTCTATACAATATTTGTTTAAATTATTTATATATGTGTAGGCTATGTGTGTCTGTGTCTGTGAAGATGATAACTCAAGCAACTTTATCATTAGTATTCTAACTTTATGATTTTCACCAAATTTGGCATATAAACGTGTAGGTGAGTTTTATTTTTTCAGTTTTTAGCAAATTTCCCATATAGGGAATAAGCTATTACTGTAGGTCTCATTGTAAGACCTGAACCCAGGACCGATTTACTTTTTCGTTTTGATATCCCGAGAGGCCAAAAACACCACCAAGCCTTGAATTTGTAGAGCTTAAAAAAACAAATAATTTAGTATCTTGAAGCGTTATTATGTGCCTAATGGTTATGGAGAAAATTTTTTAGAAAAGTAAATTTAAAATTCCTATGTTATTCTTATGGAGTATAAGTAAACTGTTGTAGTTTGCTTGTTTATGAACACATTTTGATCAAATTCGGATAATGCATTTATTTCTTACTAAACCATTAACATTTACAAAAAAAAAAATTATTATTCACACTCCCTAAAAGCAGCAAACCTAGATACTCGTTAAACCTAATGTTACAGTATTGAAATAGATTTAATTGAAAATAAATTCTAGCAAATGGAAAGTCGCGTAGTCTGCAGGTTTGCTGGGGCGGGGGTATTTCCCGATTTTTATTATAGCCATCATATAGAGCTTACAAAACAAATAATCGTTGCTACATATTTGAATCAGTGGAACAAACTATAAATGACATGTTAAGATGTTAACAATACAGGGTGGAACGAAGTTAGTGTTAAAATTTTTTATGTGTTTAACTACTAAGTATTGGTGACAAAATGGCACCAATTTAAGTTTCCATACCCTCACAGGTAGGGAATAACGGACAATTTAAGATTTTTTCAAAATATTTGTATTTGCTTACATAAAATGTCCATAAGTGCACTAAACATTGTTTTTATTCCAAATTCATTGTCATTTTTAGAATCCGTGTTAAATTTCCAATATTAATAGTACAAATTCATTGAGATGAAACATCGGCATAAGCCCTTTTTTGGCAATAGAAGTTTGAATTTGTGATTTTTTAGAAAAAACTTATAACTTTTTCCAAAGTTTTTCTGTACTACACTGGACTCTAGAGAGTGTCAAATATTCCTAAAAACTTCTGCAGTTAATAACCTTTAAAATGATGTATAAACATCTACTGTTCGTTTGATTTGTCGTTCTCAAATTTAAGAGTTTTTCTTAAAAAACACGGAATGGCCAAAATCGCCTCCCTTTAAAATAACATATATTTGCTTAAATAATACGACAATAGCTGCAATTACAATTATATTTGAATTGGTTTTATTGTAATTTGTAGAATCCTTGTGAGATTTATTATAAGAATATTAAAGATCTATTAGGATTAACATCCATATAACGTATGTTTTGTGAAAACATGTTAAACTTTTATTTATTTTAATTGTTTGAATACATTGAATATTGTTTAAAGTTACACATTGTACATTTAACTTAAGATTATTTTCTAAGCATAAGCAAATAAATGGAGTAACCTCTAAAATTATGTAGATACTACACTTTACAATGTTGTCAATATGTTCACCGAAAACCCAAAATTAATCTAAGTAAAGTATAGCAATTAGATTGTAGTGCTTAGACACATGCTAATGAAAATAAGCCAAGTGATTTATTTCTTTACTAAAGTTATTTTTAAAACCCAGAATTACTTAGTTTAACTTATTTACACAAAAAATTAAAGTTAATTCTAAAACACACAATATTCAAAACTTAAATAACTGTTCCTTACTACCTTAACGTTTTATTATTTGCCTTCTATTTGATGCCAACTACTTGAGTTTTATTTTTTTTTTATCTCCTTTATTTTCCCTGATATACAGCCAAGTTTATTAGCAAGTGGCACCAACAGTAAAAATACAACGTTCCTCTGACTAGCACATCTGCATTCATTATCCAGTTTTAAATTTCCTTATTATCTTCCACTAAAGATGAGGAGACCAAGTACTCCACATAGCCACACAAAACAAGTCCAGTGGACTTAATGTCTGGCGACCTGGCATGCCAGCAAATCACACCATATGACCCATCTTTATCATTGTTATCATTGTTCAAGTTTTGTATTTTGCATTAAGTCAATCTCAAACATAAGTTGAATGTAGGCCTACCATAGAACTAACACCGTAAACGATATTTAAGTTATGCCAATAAAAAAGAAAAAACCCTAAATGAAGATACATCCCAAAACATAGGTTCATAAGGCGTTAATCCTAACAATACCTCAATATATTAGGAATTTTACAAGGATTCTGAAAATTGCAATAATACCCATTTTAACATGATTTTTAAAGCAGCTGCTGCCATATCATTGAAGCCAATACATGTTTTTTTACAGGAAATGAAACATTAGCCGTTCCGTGTTTTTCAAGAAAAACTCTTAAATTTGAGAACGACAAATCAAACGAACAGTAGATGTTTATACATCATTTTAAAGGTTATTAACTGCCAAAGTTTTTATTAATAATTGACACTCTCTAGAGCCCAGTGTAGCATAGAAAAACTTTGGAAAAAGTTATAACTTTTTTCTAAAAAACCACAAATTGAAACTTCCATTGCCAAATAAAGGCTTATACAGATGTTTTATCCCAATGAATTTGTACTATTAATATTGTAAATTTAACGAGGATTCTAAAAATGACAATTAATTTGGAATAAAAACAATGTTAGTGCACTTATGGCCATTATATTTTTTATTATGTAAGCAAATACAAATATTTTGAAAAAAATTAAAATTGTCCGTTATTCCTTACCAGTGAGGGTATGGAAACTTAAATTGGTGCCATTTTGTCACCAATACTTAGTAGTTTAACAGATAAAATTTTTTAACACTAACTTCGTTCCACCCTGTATATTTTGTAGCATCCTACTAATATTATAAATGAGAAAGTTTGGATGTATGGATTAAGATGTTAACATTTAACAATGTATTTTTGTAGCATCCTACTATAGTTCGGCCGCTTAGAAAGCAACCTCCTCCAGCATTGGTTTACCATTAGCGCGCAGGACGTTTTCTAAGCGGCCGAACTATAATCCTACTCCTACTAATATTATAAGTGAGAAAGTGGATGTATGGATGTATGTTTGTGACAAGTAAACGCGAAAAATAGTGGTCGGATTGGGTTGAAATTTGGCATGATGATAGCTCACATTCCCGATTAACATATAGGCATATTCTTATTTCAAAAATTCTTTCGGGCTCCGCCCCAGTGGCTCTGCAGTTTCCCATGTTAACCTTATGAGTATTCATATTTAAAGGAAATTAAAGAAACTTAGCCAGCTGTTTCAACTAAAAGAGCTGGTTCTATGATATGCAAAAGCATTAAAAAGTTATAAGATTTACCAACAGGGTGCAGCACTATTATTTTTTTTCATCTATATATATAAAGCTCAAATACCACTGACTCATTCACTCACTCGTCACAAAATCTCAGAAATCATAAGACCTAGGAACCTGAAACTTGGCAGGCATCTTCCTTTTGGGTAGTAGACGCTCACTAAGAAAGGATTTTACCCTCCGACCTCTGGACTCCACCCCAGTGGCTCTGGAGTTTCCCATGTTAACCTTATGAGTACTCATATTTAAATGGAATTAATGAATCTTATAACAGCTGTTTCAATTAAACAAGTTGGTTCTGTTCTATGATGTTCAATAGCATTAAAGTTACAAGGATTACCAACAGGGTGCAGCACTATTATTTCGATTACATTTATGACAACAGCTAATTTGCAGCCAAAAGGTGAGTGAGCGTAGCGAACGAACTTCAACCTGGAGGCGAGTTAGTGTAGCGAACGAGCTAACCTGAAGGTAAGAGTGAGCGCAGCGAACGAGCTCTAACTTAAAAGTGAGTGAGCGTAGCGAACAAACTTCAACCAGAACGTGATTGAGCCATGCGAACGAGCTCACTTATGAAGTTAAACGGGGCAAAGCCCGCGGGTACAGCTAGTTTAAATAAAGGTTAAAATTAATGGGTTTTTTTCAGTCAGGAAGTTAAAACAACTTTTTAATAGTATTTAAGAGCAAACAAGTGGTTTTGAGAGGGTTTAAGCAATCTGGAACATCACAGTAATGTAAACCAATAACCTTGATGTCTTCATAAGTTTATGAGTGTTGTTAATGAAAGAAATCCTCTTGTCAGTTTGCCAGTTGTACAGTTCTTATTAATTTGATAATAATTTAAAAAAAAAAGGGCTCGTCATCGTACAATTGATTTTTTGCTATATTAAAATAGCGTCAACATGTAAATAAGAAATATACAGTATCCAGATCACACTATTACTTAAAATTATAAGAAAATAGCATTTGAATGGAAGTTTATATATTTATTATAATAGTTATTGTTTAAGTAACTAATGAGTCATTAGGTTTTGTTACTGGCATTGAATTGAATCATGCCATGTGGAACCCTTTGAGGTCATATTTTTTTCATTTTTCGGCAAGTATAGGTCGCCATCTGAGCAGTCGGGAAAATGGCACCCAATGATTTATACTCGACATTTGACCGCAAAGATAAACTTTATTTGATTTTAGATTTTTTTTCAGTGAGTATAGGTCTCCATTTTTGAGCAGTCGGGAAAATGGTGAGCGGTGACCTATTAACCATTCTACTACAAAGGGTTAAGCTACATTTACTGAATCTAATGTATTTTTTGACAATATATCTATATTAGTTATATTATTTTTAAATTATTAAAAGTTTGATCCATTCCAGAAATATCTTGTTCACTTAACTTATTACAAGACTGAATTAATTGTCAAGCTCTCAAAAGAATGTAGCCTCTTCTGTATCAGTGGGGACTGGTGAGACACCTCATTTTTTATGGACAGTAGTTATATCAACTTATATCTTCTTAGAATTAAAGGTATAGATAACACGAAGAATAAATAGAAATTAACTTTAATTATTTTACAAAACTTGTATAGTTAATATATGTGACAATATACAATACTAGTGACTAGTTAACACATACAATACTTCTCGCGTTCATAGTAACTTAACCTTTAGCCAGATTCAAATGTAATCAATTAATGTTACTAATGAATAAAACTTACCTATATGGATTTACAACCTTAAAAGTTATGGTTAACAGAAACAATTCCAAGTGTTTTTTCTTTACTTAAATATTTGTACAAATAATGGAAAAGAAAATCAAACAACCGTTTCAAATAAACAAACTCTGAATACAAACACATTAAAAAATAGAATACTGTAGATAAAAATTACAATAAGATAATAAACTATAACAATGATACTGTGATTAATGTCAGAAAATAAATTATTTTATCCAGTAGCCTATATTGGAGAGTTATATAATTTATTTAGTTTAAAAAGTAATTAATGTTATCAATGCATACTAGCATAAAAGCAATCGAGTTCAATCTCAATACCCAAGATGTGATTTTTTCTGTGTTAGTTCATGTTTAACTGTACATGTTTATTTATTGAAATAATTTTATAACAGTAACTAGTGACAAAAATCTTAGTTATGTTGCATTACGGCATTATCATTTTGGTTTTCTAAACAATATTTTTTTACAAAATGAATAAAATTGTTTATATCAGCATTTTTTTATTAATGCAATGATTTCTTTTTTTACTTTAGAAAAAGTTAAATTAGTCAATCAATTGACAAAAAATCTATATCATTCTTTTAGCTTAAAACCAACCAAGCCATAAATAATTAAATGTTGCTTTATCCTATAGTCTAGATAAAAGAAATAGAGGCACTGTAATCATAGTTAGTTTACAGAATAAGTATATAGTTGCATCCCAGTCTTAGCCTTAGCAAACAACTAACAAAAATGTTTCTCATAATGTTTTCATCAAGAGCAATGAAAAAGGTGGCAAACCTAAGGCACTTGTTAAAATTTACAATTGCAGATAAAGATTTAAGATAAGTATACAAACACTAGACAATGTTACAATGTGTTAGGCAATGTGGAAGTAGGTTTTTATCTGATTTGAAAAATTCAATTGTTTCTTTTCTTCCATACTATGATAAAATAATTTTGAGTTGTCTTAATGGATTGTTGAAATATGAATTTTTGAGATCACAAGTTCTGGCTAAGTACGTAATCGTCTAAGGCACAGTTACAGTTACAGATGTTTACATCCAACTCAAATACATTCAGTAATACTGGGTTTAAAATTACTAACTAAGATAAATACATAATAGACAGTAATAACAAAAATAATGTCATGGGAGTTCAAATCAAAAATATCTTCTCTAATTATTAACAACGTAAACATAAATCTTTTGTACATTCATATTTTTACTCGATCAATAAAATAATATATTTACAACCCAATATATTACATATAAAACAAATATTCTAATATTTAAAAATCTTAATTTAATAAAAAATATCCATCTACACAAGCTACATCCCTTTGGTGTTTGATTGTTATCAGAAAAGTTTATTCACTCGACAAACGCTTAACTGAGTATTCAATAAATAAATGCTTTTTTAATGTAATAAAGCCATCATATATACATTTACAATTCAAATTAAGATTGTAGAGAGAGATTGAACTCTTATGAAATTCCTTACCAAACATGTGTATACACACACACACACTCACACACAACCGATCACAAAGGCACATAAGAATCAGTCTGTACACTCTGGCTGTCCTCACTGGTGTTGTGGTACACCTGTGATGTTTGTTGCCTACAGCCTACAGCAGATATGGGAACTGTTCATCCCCTACACTAGACTCTTCACTGGAAGGAGGAGTGTCCAACTGCGGCAGTCCCAAGTCCAGGTACTCCTGCAATAGTTAGGTTATCTTAGGAATAAACATAATCAACAAAACAAGGGCGGTATGGATAGCGTTCATAAGAGGTAGGCAAGTATAGAAAAGGTAGCTTCTAAATGGCATTAACTTTTTTTTTTTTAAAAAGAGGTTGGCGGCCTCTTTTAACCTTGCATTTGCCCGTCCACATAGACTAAGCGCCCGTGCGTGGATCGTTAACAGCAAAGCAAGGAGTCAGCCGGTACAGTACAAAAGTGAACTGTACTGATAAAAGCTGTATTGTAGATGCTGATCCAATTTGCATTATAAGGGTGTATTATGGAAATTTTTGTATTAAGCAAATGTGACCAATTCTTGTAATCCTTCTTCTTAAGGCGGGTCCGCACGTGAGTGCCAAGCATCTACTCATAAAACCTATGCCTAGTGTGGATGAGTTTTGGTCTTCCCGTCATTCAGCAAGCGTTTCCCACTCTATATCAATCCTTTCTACACATCAAGACATCAAACAGACTGCTCGGAAATTGGAAAATGTGAAAGCACCTCTTCTCGGAAATCGGCTCATAACAATGTAAGTAGTTAGCCACTATTCAAATATTTGGTGCTCAGCGAATTCCACATGTTGTGGACAGTTCTAAAAAGAGTATTTTTAGCCTATTATGATCTCATGGTGCAATATTAGGACATTACTACACATGCGTAGCGTCACACAAACTATAAATGTGTGTTACAACAGTATACAACCAACAGATTAACCCTTCATAAGTGACTTTGCGAAGATTTCCTCTTGGCGTTTGTATTTTAGTACAAAATTATTAGTTTTTTGTGTGTTGGTGGTTGCAAAAGTAACTTGGTTGAAAACCGGGATTTTCGAATCAAAGTCATCTGAAGAAGGTTAATATCTAATCCACGCTTTAGAAGGTACTGATCTAATAGTTGTAACAACCTTTTGTTCATAGTTGTTTGAATCTTTTATACCAAAAATTATTTGTGAAAGAACCACAAACGCTTTTTGAACACTTTTTTAGAGAAAGTGGTCTAACCTCTCAATTATTTTGTAGATATGCAAAGGATTGATCCTGTCACTCTCGTACCGTGTGAGATGCTACCTTATAAGATTTTAAAAACCCTAACTAGTTAATAATGTTTTCAAAAGATAAAAAATGTTTTATTAATAGTATATTTCGTACCTAGGGCCGAAAATGAGTTTTGCCGGCTCGAGATAGTTTTTAAGTTTGAGACGAAGTCGAGAACTTAAATCGATCGAGAGCTGCAAAACCATTTCGGTCCGTGGTACGAACGCTATTTTTCACCACACTATACCCTATTACCGCTATAATAATGCACACTGATAGTCAACACAACTACAAAACTTAAGGTTATGTGAAGAAATAATTTGAGGAATCAGCGAAAATAAAAATAAATAGTTGCTAGGCAACGGTGACAATAACACAATTCTACTGCAATGCTATGGATTTTGACTGTGTATTTAAAATGCAAGCGGACAGCTGATTTTGCGGCCCCGGGCTGTAAAAACCTGCTCGGTCCCCAAATTACAATGACAGCTGGCATGGCCAGCAAAACGTAACTTTCAGCCACCAATTAACGTATGTAATACATCTAAAAACATCATAGTGTGGTGAAAAATTAATTATCAAAGAGTTTATTTCTAAAATTTGGCATCCTCGATGTTTTATCAATCGCTACCCATGAAAATTGGGACAAAATACAATTACCTCTAGTAAAAATTATGGTCAAAAGGGCTTTAAAAGTTATTGTGGAAAATGTTTACAGTAGAACGCTGATATGCAAAGCAAATTCATCCGAAATGTAGGTTACCCAAAAGGCCAGTCACCAATGTTGCTGCAATTATGAGAGACGATCAGCGGGAATGACAAAACTGCAAATATATGCTCACCAGATATGGTACAACCGCAGGACATAATGAAAACCAGTAAAAAACATTGTATTTAAATGTTACCAATCAAAGTTAAAATAATGTACCAATCTCATTTTACTGTTTTACCGAATATTGGAAAAAATCTGTTATCAGAACACCCTATTCCCAATTGTTTTTGATAATCAACTCTCTACTATAGTTATAATTTTAACTATCTCAAAACAAAGATCTACAGGTTAGCATTGGTTGCCTACCTCGTTGGCTGTGATGGTAAGTATTCTGTCCAGGTCCTCCACCAGTTCACTAAACATCGGCCTCTCATTGGGCTGATAGCTCCAGCAGTCCCTCATCAGCATGTAACTGTCAACAAATGCGGTTGTTAGTTGTCTATCAAATCCCTCTGCAATTGCTGGAATGTCTTAATAGTACAATGTTGTTGTCCATTTTATCCTAACTGTTCCTGTCTTAAATAAAATTAAATAGGCGTTGCATCAATACTAAAAATGTGAAGACTCTGGGTCCCGTTAAATGTTTTTTCTTAACAGGAAATATTTTTATCACTAAAAATGTCTCATTACTATGAGTAATGGTAGCGAAAGGTAATGTCCAACCTACCATCCCAAGTAAAAGTCAAGTAAGATTTATCACTATTTTGTCCAAAATGCATGACAGTAAAAGTTTTCAATAAATTACATACAGCAGTCTTTTGTTAAAGAACTCCAAGAGTTTACCCCTTGTAAAAAATTAACATGACTTTTTAAGGGAGGTTTGTGTACAAATTTGAGAGCTCCTTAGAGTTCTTTATAAAAAAGATTGCTTTGTAATTTAATGACAACTTTTCCACCATGTATTTTGGACCATGTTTAATCTTACTTGACTTGTTCTTATGCTGGTGGGTTGGATACGTACATTTTGTCAACCCTCAGTTTTAATTAGCATTACTTCTAATTTAATTAATTAGTTTCTCCTCTTTATAATATCCTGAGTATATAATAATAATAGTTTCTCCTGAGTATATAATAATATAATATTAGAGGTCGACCAGTGTTCGAAAACTCGACCAAAAATATGTAATGTGCAGACTTCTCTATTTTCACTCCACAGTCCACACTGTAAATAAAACATGTGATTTGAATTTCTTCCATTTGTTTTGATTTTCTGTTTATATTTTTTTTTCGTCACCTTTCGTCAACCCTTTCCAACCATGTTAATTTTCTTCAAATTTTAAATTAATTTTTGTGCTTATTTTTTAGCCTATTTTAATTTCTAAAGGGATTTTGCACATCTACAGGAAAATATCTTTCTAACAGTAAGCGTAGGATTTTCCCTGTGATGCACAAGCTGAGAAAAAAGGTTTTAAAGAAATATCCTTGCCTATTATTGTATATATAATAATTCCCTTGTATTAAAGTCTGGGAAAACTAGCTGGTTCAACAAAAAGTCAACATCTTATTAGTAAGGTACCTGGCAAGAACGATTGGTACCTATATAGAACTGTTTAATAAAGAGTTCTGGGGGGGAAAAACTAAATTTTAAAGAATTGTAATTTAATTAAAGTTTCTTACATCTCGAGAGAGCAGCAGGGGGGTTTCTCCATACGATGGCCACTCCTCAGTAACTGGAAGAGTTTCTCCATGCTGGGTACAGATGGGTAGGGAGTCCCTCCTAGCGTCATGATCTCCCATAGCAACACACCATATGACCACCTGCAACAATTGCAATCACTCATATCACGAGGTATTTGGTTGAAGATGGGTATGCTATTCCTCTTAAGCTGAGTGCATTCGGGGTGGTTGTAGTGAGGCAAAACAAATCCTCCTTCTTCAAAAGTGCACCATTAGGAGAATATGTGGAGTCCACAGACGGACACATTGTAAACCTCTGTTCCAAGAACTGAACATCCTCACACTTATGCCTCTCTTTATAATGGAATCCGCATAACTTGTAAAGAAGAATCCCAAAATTTGTATAACTAATAATCCAATTCATAATTAAAATACAAAAAAAGAAATCAATCCACATGTAACTCAAATCAGTTCTACCTTGGCAAGCAGGGCCCATATTTCAATATCATTAAAATGTATTATAAATTTAAAATTTCCTCCTAATATCACACAAGAAGAACTTTTTTTTTTAAGAGGTTGGCGACCTCTTTTAGCGAATTTCCCTATAGAGAAGTATTAGCGAATTTCCCTATAGAGAAGTAGCTATTACCGTAGGTGGCATGGTAAGACCTAAGCCCGGGAGCGATTTACTTTTTCATTTTGATGTCCCCAGAGGCCAAAAACACCATTCGTTCAAATTTTTATATATGTATATATATATATATATATATATATACTTTTGTACCCACCCGGATTGGCAGTCACTGCGCTGGTAATTTACTCGGTGTGGCAGTCACTCGCCCGAAAGCCAGTCAGCTCTCCCAAAAGCCAGTCAGGTATGGCTTGCCGTGCATTTTATACGTATGAAAACAGCTAACCGGTGCTGCTGCCTGTGTCGATAAGCGTAACTGCAATACCAATGCGGAGACCGTCACTGTCACCGTGAGTTCTATCGTGGAGTAGCGTAGCCAAGTACGGCACCCTCCTCGCCTACTTTGTAGCGGTAACACTCAGCGGTCTGCAACCTTCGTTGACTCCTTTTTACTATTTATGTTGGGATAGTGATTAACTACGTGTTAATGTTTAAGCATGTTCATATTCCAAATAACTATGATGCACCTCTAATAAGGAATGTCGAATATTAATTAATCATAAACGGTTGAATCTTGATACTACCCGTTCATCATCTCATATTTAAGTTTTGATAATTTTTGTTCACCTTCAGTAGAAATTTTAGTCAATTTCTCCTGTATGACGTACAATATTTACAGTGTGTCCACGGACCGGGAAGATCGGGAATCATACGGATTTTCTTTATCTCGGAAAATATACGTGAATCTTGTCCGAGATATGGGAACTGTTGTCCGAAGGAGGAACTAACATATGGCAACGATATTATTCTATCTGATAAGAATAACCACGAAACTACACTCGATAGATAAAATATTTGTATAATACAGTAATTTTAATTTTACAAAATTTACAGGAATTCTATTTTGGGACGGATGAAAGATAAGGAAGCAACAAAAAGTGGTCACGAGTGCAAATGCGGATGGGGGGGGGGTTACAATATGACAAACGCCAGAAACGATTATTTGTTTACTTTTCAGATTCCTGATCAAATCTCTCTCTCTCCCTCTCTCTCTCTCTCACCCTCTCTCCCTCACAGTCCCCCTCTCTCGCTCTCTCTCTCTCTCTCACTCTCCCTCTCTCTCTCTCTCTCTCTCTATAACAATGTACAGTTTGTGGACTTTACTATTTAAGGTTTCCTTTCAAAATAGTAAAGCTGGTTAAACTATTTTTTTTATTGAAGCCAAACACTCTTTACCATCACCATCCGGTATTCTGCAGGGTAAAACGTTTAACACTGTGTTTATTAAAATTGAATGGCCACACAATTTCGTGTTTTATTTTTTTAAAGTAATAGTAACTTGGATATTTATACATACCAATAAGTGCTGCAAGCTGTAATGAATGCTTCTGATTAATATCAAATAGCTACTACTCTATAGGGAAATTCGCGAACAAGTTATGAATTAATTTTTTATAATACATCGGTCATTGAATACCAACCATAATGTGATGGGGGTTTCTATTTGTAACTTAAACTTGCAAATACAGTAGAACCTCGCTTAACTGGGGTCGGACCAACATGATGACTATGTAACCTCACAAATCCCAAGAAAAAGTTTCATGAATTGTGTTTTTCAGTCTAATATTTCGATATGAACTATATATTTAACTATTTACGGTAATTTTTATGTGCATTAGGCTCCCAATTATTGAAACATTAAAGTTCATTCGACAAAATAAGATGGTAGCAAAACGGAGAAATATCGATCAGTAGCTTCAAGGTCAAGCTATACGCTCGCACCTACAGACTGACAATCTTACACTGACACTGACATACTGACAATCGTCTGCTCCTGTCTCCTGTCACAACACTACAACATTTTGTGGTTGGGTCGTCGGGTGATTAGTAACCATGACCACTTGTGGTTGGAGATAAACCAAAGAGAGGATAGAACAAAGATAAATAATAAGAGGTGTTTTACATCATTGTTATCTTTATCTTATTTTTATCATTGTTGTTATTACCAAAAAGACTTAAGTACATTACTATGATTTTATGGTGTTTTATGAGTTATTTAATATTTTCATTCCCATACTTCTGTTCTGAAACATCATGTAGTAGTAGCCTATGATGACTACGGTACCTATCAGTAGTCTATTTGTCTAGATTTACTTTTGTTTTGTTCTTTACGTGATTTATTGCTGTACAGTAAGCAAGTTTTGTTTTGGGTTGAGTAAGGACACGGTGTAGTTTTATTACAGAACCAAGGTTAATGACTTAACATATCACGGTTGCGCAGTACCTATTGTATTTTGACAATGTAAAATGCAAATGTATAATCACGTTAACCTTCCATTTATAAAGTGTGTCCCGGAACGGAATTGTTCCTGAGTAAGCACATATCTAAATATCACATAAAAATTTTCCAGAATTTCTTAGTTACCCACACAGCTAAAATCTTTTTAGGCCTAACTCATTTGAAACTTGTACATTACATATTTTTGGTCGAGTTTTCGACCACTGGACGACCACTAGTTAAAGTTAGTTGTATTACGACAATCTTTATAGTAAGCAATATAAGCTTGAATCGGACTTATCTGTCAATCTGCCTTCAGCTAATCCATCATATGATAGTACGTTAGAGAGTATGTCCATGCTGAAGTTTTACTTATAGTACCGAGAAATAAATCACACCCCTTACATACACTGTACTGTGCTGTTTTAATGCTTTGTAGCTGATTGCTACTGTATTAACCTGTGATCGCATATCAATTCCTACAATAGGAACATATTTTAAAAAAAAACTTCTTTTATTTTTTAACATTTGTATGATTTATTTACAATAACAGAAATGTGTAAGATTAAAACAAATTAATTAGTTGCATTGTCCATTTGAAGTTACATCATAGTAAAGTAAAATTCCACTGAAACTTAAACAATAAAAGCCAAAATTAGTTATAAAGAAAACGCGAGTTTCCTTTATATTGCTTTTATAATCGAAATAAACATACCGAACCACGGCTCGGTCCCCCGGCAATTTTCATTTTAAATATTCAAATAAAGTAGATTTGTTTTTTGAAATGTGACATGAAAAATTTTCACGGAACTTTTTTTGTCGGCTACTACTTTATTTTATTTTTTGGTAAGGTAAGTTTAAAAACAGTGGATTCTGTATTTAAAGAGTGAAATGTTCTATATCTTTTTTCTAATTTTTAGCTTATGTACGTAATTTAAATTGTACGAGAGGGGCTACCCGCCGTGCCGGGTTGCGCCGTGCGGGCATATTTTGATCCAGTGGCGGGTGTTTGGTGTTTTGAATAAGAATACCGAATGGCTCGTTTGGAGGTCGTATCATTACAAATCGTATCATTTTAAGATTTTCTTACACTTAAGAGAAATGCATTTTCCATTTTTTAGATTTCTCAGTTACAAATTTTATGAAATAACATGATTGCATTGTTTTACAATAATATTGTACTTAGTAACTGAAATAAAAGTCAGGAGGTTAGTTATCAAACATACAATAGGCTTAAATAACGTTAAGTATTACTAATTGACGTTTATAAAAACCAGTAGTCAATATTTAGGTTTGTTGCACTAGATTTAGAAACTTAACTGTATTTTGGTAAATTTGAATTACGTTACTGATCAAAAACGCAAACTGCGGACTTGCAATTGCTATTATATATTCAGGTCGGATGTATTTAAAACTAATCAAATACAAATTCATTCGTGGTCCGAAAATCCCCCTCTTCCAAGTAAGGCTATAACGGCACATTGCAAAATGAGAAAGTTGAAATTGAAGTTGAAGTCATCTGAATGTTCGTCTACCTCTGGGCGCATCCCTTGCAGTGATTGAATGTCGTCAGACTCCGACCAGCTTGTCGTGTGTTGAAGTTATGCACGCAGAGATTTCACATCAAGCATCGGCGTATTGATTTATTTATGATATATTTATTAATGCTAGTACCTGGGGACCGAGTTTTGCTCGGATAAAATCATTAGTTTACTATGGAAGCAGTCTTAGTATTGCAGACACATTAATCCATTCCCAAACACCGCAACGCTCGCCTTTACTACTTCCTTCACCACTTTCTACGTCGTGGGCGTGTTTCCTTCTCTTCCCATTTTAAGATTGCAGATACCTTAATCTAATCGTCATAAACAGTTCCCGCACTCCGTACAGCTTGCCTTGACTATTTCTTTACCACTTCCTACATCGCGGGCCTGTTATTTAATGATTCCAGATACCGTAAGATATAAAGTCAATGCTACAATGTATCGAGTAATCTTCAGTATACTCTTTGCTCAATAGAAACAATTGATGTTTTTCCTTGTGTACTGTATTTCGTTTTGCTAGTATACTGTGGATAGACAACTTACAAGTATTTTGTTTACTTTTCCTTGTTATTTAATTCAGCCAAGATGGTTGCTTCGCCGACTCCGTAGAATATGGCAAAACTCTAGAGACCAGACGGATAAAAGAAATCCAAACAGGGCCACTCAACAACTAAAAAGGTTACTGTTT